TCCCTTACATACATAAAGCCAAATGTATTACAAACATAGAATCAATACTAATCCGTTTCCGCTAATCAGATATAAACATGATTTTAAAATGAGAACATGTCAACCCCGAACCCTTACAGGGGTCATGAGGCAGTCAAATTACATCGTCATCACAGAATTTGCGTTCTGCAAGCGGTTCTCCTTTAACAGCCCTCCTATCTGGTAATGGCGCAGGTCGAACGCCACGGATCAGCGCCAGCCCTGATAATAACTAGGTCGCTAGCGGATGAGAAGTGCCAGGACTAATAATATGTCACAGAGTCCCGTAGGGGCCGCCCCCAAATCTCATCAGTCAGCCAGCAGTGAGTTTTACGAGACGCTCTGCACTTTAATTATATTATCTCTGTCATTATTACTGGGCAGCCCAGCTCCGGGTGGGAATAAAAAAAGGTTATATAATGCCTGTTTTTACACGACGGCCTGTCGTGACCCGGGGGGGGGGGGGGTTCCCCCCCGCTCTCCCAACCAAGTCCCGGGGGGGGGGGGCTCTTCTCTCCTGCTCTCCACACCAAGGCGGCTTCGCAAATGGCTCGGGACGAATTGTTAATGCAAGGTCAAAGTGTGGGCTAATGCGGCAATAAAAGCAAAATGTAATTGATTTGCTATGTTCCCATGGTAGGAGAGGCTCCGGGAGCCTTGGCACAGGCAAGATCAGTAATTGATTTGTTATGTCTTGGATGGAAGGCTAATGCTCTGTCTATATTTAGGATCCCAGGCTCTGATGTGCTAAGAAAGTCCTTTATTGCGCTGGAGGTGACACAAACGCATACTAAGCAGCAACAATTAAAATTATCTGCTGGCCTGGTCTTAAAGCCTACTTGAAGTCACAGAAATACCGTATTTTGCGCTCCATAATGCGCACCTGACCATAGGACGCAGGGAGGGTAGGGTTCTGACAGCTGCAGTTAGTGACCGCTGAGACAGGTGGCGCTGTGATTACAGCGCAACGTTCTCAGTGATAACACAGAGCAGACGAAGAACGAACTTCTTCATCTGCTCTACGGGCTCTATGGTGAGCTCCTATGCCAGAGGAGCAGGGGACCCCGAAAACCACGGCGGGGGGGCCCTGGACATGATCGCCGCCGCTGCTCGATTTGATACAAGTGGTCTGATTAGATCACTTGTATTAAACGAGCAGCGGCTCCCACTGTACATTCAGCTCTGCTTGTCTGGAGCAGGGCTGAATGTACAAAAAAACTACTCGCCTGGCGCCCGAAACTGCATGCCCCGGGTGTCGGGTGATAGGGATTCGCTCCATAAGACGCACAGACATTTTTGCCCCCCTTAAGTGCGTCTTATGGAGCGAAAAATACGGTAGATATATGGTCATATAGACATTTTTGTACCAGTTTTGATAGACTTGCTTCCACTTTCCTGTTCCTGAGTGTCTAAATATGACCATCCAACAGTGAATGTGAATGTCCGCTATGTAAAGCACTGTGTAAATTGTCAGCACTTTATAAATACCTGTAATTAATAAATAATTAGTATTTCAGACAATCTTCTCCATTGGGCCAGCCACTTTATAAAGATGAATCATATCTTATATTATCATGGGGATGATCTTTATCATTTATAGTTTAATTGATCTCATACCGATCTATTACAATTCCTTATTAAAGAACATGTTTTACCCAATTGTTTTAATATAAGCACATACTGATACAAGAGGGGGGCATCTCACAACAGTGTTTTCTGGTTGCTCAGGGTGAAACTAAAGTGCTGAAGCTGAAGAACCTACGCCCTCAAGACTACGCCAATTATACGTGTCAAGTGTCCGTGCGGAATGTTTGCGGGATCCCCGATAAATCCATCACTTTCCGACTCACTAACAAGACAGGTGAGTGCGATGACCGCAGACCCCTAACTTGCCTTAATAAGTCATTTTCTTAGATGTGAAAATTGGTAATGGCTGCGA